CGGTCTTAGATTATTATCAGTGTTCTTCAGTTTTATCCTTATATCTTTATCCTTTATTCTTATCCTTATCCTTGTACCTTTTTCAATCCCCTAACTGTAATCAAATATCCTTGTTTAAAAGGCATGTGTTTTCTATACAGAAACTTTGAACATGGTTGCCAGGTCAGTGTAACAAAACCAGCTCAACTGGTACTCAAAATTAGTCCAATCACATTCCTGGGGGAAAATGGCTGTAAACACCGCTTCAAAACCACTCTAAAATCACCTTCCGTGGGGTCGAAACCTCCTTCTGGGCCGTCTAAAAATACAACCCGCAGCAACAGTATAAAAGTAGCAATTTCTGTGAAAATTGTCAATATACAGTATCTGTCATATTGTGTTATTATAACTTAATCAAAAATTTAATTTCCTGTTTATAGTAGCTACAGACACTGTAAGATATCAGTTTGTGCATGAGTTGGTGGCAATAAAAGGGCCATTTAAAAAAGTATTCAGCATTTTATCTGGTCTCTACCTCTTCTACCTGTGGCTAGTTCCTCCAACCAGTCTTGTTGTAAATGGCTGAGAGCCAAATGTACTTTTGGTGGAAACAGTGGGAACTTGTGTACTTTCAAATCTACTTTGAAACTGTGACTTGTCAAGATACAACCCTGGGTTGTTGAATTACAAATAGTTAGTTACACAAGATAGGCCTACTTACTACAATGAAGGTACTTATGGACAATGTCTTTTATATATATTTCATATGATGAACGGTCATATTTAGGGATGATACATCTATGTAGAATGTACACTTATCTGTGTGTTTCTGATTCTTTGAGTTTAGTTCTTTACTCGGTCCTGGATTCCTTAGTAACTACTCATTAGTTCACTGATTAGTTTCACCTGTTCCTTGTTTTCTCCCTCAGTTGGTCTGTGTGTTTATGTTGCCCTTTTTGGTTCAATTCTTGGTCTGTATATATAGTGCTGTATTTTTATTTTTTATTTTATTTAGTGTGTGTGCGTGCGTGCGTGTGTGTGTGTGTGTGTGTGTGTGT